CGTGCCAGCTCCCAGCTGTAAATGCAGGGATTGCACTTACAGGGAATGCTGTGGACAGCCACGGCAGGGCTGTCTCCTGCCCAGAAAGGAAGCACTGCAGAGGAGCAAGGCTCATTCTTTTTTCATGGAACACGAGGCTGCCTTCTGCTCCAGATGAAAGCAAGTGGGAGTAAATTGTTTGGATTTCCCGACAAAAGCTGCGTGAACACAACACCTTTAATAAAAACACTTGATTCTTCTCATCATGCTCCTCTCCTCTCTTCCCCACCATCACAGGAGGCCCTGCTTGCTGCTTTCAGCCAGAGAATATCTTTGTTATCCTTGCAGACAGTGAATAGCCAGGCATTCATTTGAGCTTAATTTTTTTTGGCAATAAGACTCAGGGAAATAATAGGGATAAAAAAATGGGAGATGTCAGGAACAAGTTCTGCCTGTAAATACATGTTCAGCTCCTTTGATTGGAATGGGGACAGGGAGCTCTGAATTTTAAACAACTGAGTTATGTTTGTCATTCAACTGCATTGTTTTTCCATGTTTTCCTGTTTTTTCCCTCCTTTCTAAGCTCCTGCAGAGCTGGGCACTTTTTACCACCTTGGCCCAGCAATACAATTATTTTCCCATCCCACTCTTAAAGAGATTATGTCTGTTTGTCTCAAATATCTCCTATATGACAACCTGGCAAAGCCACTTTAATAAAGAAATGCTCTGGTGACTCCCAGGTATTCCCACATTTGCAAGATCTGATTTTCAGGAAGGCAGCAGGGGTTTGATGGATGAAATAAACCGATTTTTTCAATATATTTCAGGTAATCAATTAAAAAAAAAGAAAAGAAAAAAAAAGAGGAAACAAAACTCTTTAGCAGCTGGCAGCATTTTCAAATAAATACAAGAAAATGATGGAAGTGCAATGGGGGAAGTTAGAGGAGAATAATCAGAGATGCTGCTCCCAACCACACAGGGGAAAAGGAGGCTGCAACAGGAAATTGTCTATCAAAATGAATTTAAAATGATTTTCATATGATTAAAATTACCTGATGAGATTTGTGTTTGATAAATTAGGAAGTGCCTAATGAATCTTGCACCCCATGGGGAATCATTAACAATTAACTCGTGAGGAGATGAGACACGAGATCCATGATGAAGACCTGGGTGGAGGAAATGGGGCTGACCCCAGGATGGAGGTTCCATCCCTGGGTGGTTCCACCAGGTGCCTGATCTGTTTGTTCTGGCAGCTTGGGGTGTTTGAAATTTTGAGGATTGGGTAGCAATGGCAGCTGGGGGAGTGGAGAGTGACAGGAGCTCATTAAATGGGTGGCAGTGAGCCCCAGACCATGGCCTGTGTGGGGTTCATTCCCTTTGGGGAGGTCTGGCAGGTTCCCAGCTGGTCCCTTTGGGGTTTTTCTACATTCACATTGAATGCAAAACCATGCTTTAAGGTGAAAGGGAAAATAGACCTCATTTCAGTGAGGTAAATAATGGGAGGAATAATCAACCAGGAGCGTTGTGTGCCACCAGCTCCACTTGGGATGCAATCATGTTTTCTCTTTCATACAAATTGGTGAAATTTGAAGGCAAATGAAGAGGCAGTGAGTTTTATGTCCATCATTTCTTTAGAAAAGAAAGTTTTGAGAAAGAAAACCTTGAGATGTTACTTTTTTGTGGTCTTTCCTCAGTGTGAGATTCATCCAGAAATTGTTGACATTCATTTTGTTTAGGAAAAGGCAGATTTGATACTGGAATAGGCCTCTCCTAAACCAAACAAAAATGTTTTCTTCATTCCACAATCATCTTTTCTTATGGCTTCATCCAAAGATTGTTAAACCAAGGAAGGGCTCACTCACTCTTCAGTGCCAGGCATTGGCATTTTCACTTTCAAGCCCATTGTTTTTCCAGGAGAGAGAACAAAATTTCAGTCCCTGTTGCTTGGCTACAGCCCCTCCAAGCCTCTTGGAACCCATGGGTTTGTAACACCTCAGAAAAGCAGGCGTGCACAGCTTTCCCTTCAATTATTTATGCAGCTAGTTGTTGATTCCTTTTTGTCTGGTGACCCCGATGAAGTGTTTCACTAACTCCGCTCTCCTCCTGCCCAAGGCTTTATTCCGTTGTCCTTGGCTTTTCCTTGGGAATGCTCTCCAAGTGGGAATCAAATGTTTTCCTGGAATCCTGAATGGCCAGCCCAGAAAGGAAAGGGTTGCCTGGGTAACTCAGCAAAACAACCCAAACCTGTTGGTTGGAGTGAGTGTGTGCTGCTTGCCTGCCGAGGCGCAGAGCAGCACTTGGGCACCAAAAGTGAGCTCATCTTCAGGGCCATGCACATCACACCTCTGAAATGCCCCAAGAAATTCTCTCTTTCTAACTGACTCCTCCAACACAAACGCCCTGGATTCCTGGATATGTTCAAAGCAGGTAAGATCAATAAAAGTTGGCTTTCTGCTGGTGCTGAAGTGTTGTTACGTGTTTAGGTCTGATTGTGCTGGTGATATTGACCTGATGGTTTGATATCAACAATTTGTATCAAGTTAACACCAAAAAAAATAGGATTTTACATAAAGAACATAAAATTATGTCAATAATTTGATTTATCCCAAAATTAGATTTATCTAAACTGATTTATTCCTGAATCAGAAAAATGTTAGAATAGAGGAATTTCTTTCAAGTATCCTTTAACGACGATCAGAAAATGTCAGCTCAGAAACTCAGCCAGTAATTGCAGACTTTAAAGCCAGACTGTTCATCCAGTCTGGTCTGAACAAAGTCAGTGGCTGGGAATCCTGTGTGAATGCTGACCCTGGGCACAGGAACAGAATTTCTGCTCCCACAGTGCCAGGATTTCATGGTCTGAGCATCTCAGTTATTTCTGTATAAAAGGAGGAGGGATAATATTATTTCCTTTCTTCCTACTCTTTGTCTGTGTGCTCTGTTCAATTAGAGCACAAACCCTCTGGAGCAAACTCTGTTTTCCTGACTTTCTGTGGTGCCCAGAACAACGGGGCCTCTGGTGGCCTACAGCAGTGAGAATAATTGGGATTGTTTCTGTCATTAATCAGACCTCAGGATGAGCTGGATTCTGCCCATCCTACAAATTTCATGGACATGCAGGGAAGAATCCAAAGGGACAAAAAAAAGATGTGAGAGACACAGGGTTGAGACTGATGCCCACCCTGTGTTTACCCAATTCCAAGACAAAATTTCTGGTCAAAATTAGATAAAGTTGGAAAAAAGATTTCTTTCTTGCAGAGCTGGGGACACACTGCTGAATTTCTTGTCAGAAGCACATTTTTATGGGCAGGTTGTAAAGATCTGAAAAATAGTGTTTATAATGGAAAGGCTGACACCATATAAAATATGTCGTTCCTCTGGAATAGCACAGAGATAATTTTTCACGGGCTTTATGAGGAATGCATTTGCCATAAAAGATCTGAAGCCCATTAGGATGTGATGGGGACCAATACCTTTCATTTTATAGACAGAGGAAAAAATGGGAAGTAGAAAGGCCCCAAATTACAATCTTGTTTGATTTAGATATTAATTTCTTTATTCTTAGCAGACAGAGAAATGATTCGCTCAAGTGACCTGATGAATCTCTTAAAACCCTGTCCTCGCCCACCCAGTAATAAACTCAGTTCTTCGCACATAAAGTTTTAATGAAACCTGAGTGGAATGACTACTTTGTTAAATTTCACATAATGATCTGTCAGTTCAACATTTGGAACCACGGAATGCCTGAGCATGGAGCTGAAATTCTCTAATTACCATTATTCCCCTCTGTTTTCCTGGCACAGTGAAATTTGGCAGCAGAATTTCTAAGAGAAGGTTTTGGAGCCTTCAGCAACCATTGGGGAAAGCACAGACCTTTCTGTGCAGAACGACCTTATAATGATCAGCCTTTGTAGTGACCTAAAAGAGAAAAATGTGAAGGAAAAGGAGGATAAGGAATGTTTTGTACGTGAAGAAGCTGTGAGGTAGAAGTCTAAACCACAGAGGTTTTGACAATACGGCATTTCCAACTGAATAACCCAGGGCAGAGAGGATTGTGGACTTTTCCCACATTGATTTTAATCTATTTACCCCCTCTTTTTTCAGCACAGAGCCCAGGAGCTGAAGTGGGGAGGAGGCTGTGCCTGTGGTGCGGGAGTTGCAGATCAATAGGGCACAATTTACAGCTCCATTGTAACCTTCCCCCAAAACCTGGGTCCCACCACCACTGTTGGAGTTTAAAAGCCATCTGGGAACTTCAGCAGGGACTAACCAGTGCCCACAACCACACTGGGCTGCTGCAATCCCACCCTGGAGCCCTGCCAGCACCTGCACTTGTCTGGGTGAACAAACAAAAATCAAACTCATGTTGAAGGGAATAATTCACTGGGCCGATTCTCAGAACATACAGCTTTAATGTTTTAAGAAAAATATAATATAAAACCAGACACAAACCTGGCCTGTTGGTTCCCACCAAGAGAAGAATCTCTTGTTCTCATTCTCAGCTGCAAACCTGAAGAAGGAAGCCTGGAAGATGTTCCTAAAATGGCTAAGCACGTTGAAATGAGGCAAGAACGCCCAACAGAACGAAGAGGTGCCGATAAAGAACCTTCCTGAACATTACATAAAACCTGACCCTCTTTAAGTATTTTCTTTTCATCCAACAGATAGATACACTAATAAGGCATTTAACAAGCCACTAATGAAGCAGGAGATCTTTTAGGCAACAAAAATACCAACTTCAAGTGGGCAAAACCGTGAAAGGAATTGAAAGTGGAGCGGCCGGCAGGCGCAGACCAGAGATTCAGCTGGATGATCACGTATCCTGCTACAGGTATCACCAACCTATCTTTAGGCACCTTCTGGAGAGCCAGCTCACTGATAGCAGTTGGATCAGCCCAGGAATTTGTTTGGTGTGCTTAAGAGGTTGGTAACAATAGCTCCTAAGGTGACAGCGGCGGCAGCGTTGCGCGGTGACAGCGTTTCCTTGGAGACAGCGAATCCATCCATCGGGATCCCGGCAGGTTCCCCCTCTCCAGAGAGCCTGGAACTCCCTCCCTGAGCAGGGCCAGAGATGGGAAGATAAGCCCTGCCTGTAGACAAATAGCCCTGTGCAAGATGTGAGGATTTCATGCAGCAGCCAGACATGTCTGAAAGGTAGGAGGGTGCAAGGAGACACGAACCTGTAGTCATTGCTTGACATGCTTTGACAACAAAGATAGAGTTACAGGATTGAGTGTCTTTTTAAAATGAACCAGCCTGTATTGCTGAGGGAGATTGCTGTGCAGGGAAAACAGGAGCTCAAACAGAGCTGTTTTTCTTGGTGTCAGTGCCTGATTGCTGGAAGGAAAAAGCTGTCCCAACAAAAATGTTGAGTTTGCTGTGAAAATGTGTGGATTGAGATGTGGGCTTTGTGTTGGCGCAAGCTGGATCCAAGAGGAAAATGTTAGTTAATTAGCTAAGAGTGTATCATTATGGTGATGGGACCTAATTAAGTTAATTATGTCTTGGGGGGGGCAATTTTATGAAGCATAAAGCAAGATAATTGATGCTGCAGCTATCAGCAAGGATGCTTTGTAGCCATAACTTACAGGTGTGTTTGTCACTAAATTACGCTCAGAAGAACTGCTTCAAAATGTTGCATAATGTCTCCTAAAACTCCTATAAAAATAATTGAAAGGTAATAGAGCATGCAAACACTGTGTCCATATCTTCTACTCTCCTAAGTTCAGAGAGTTCTCATAATAAATGTTTGCATACAAGCAGAGCTGCTTTGGAGCAGTAAATTGTGTGCATTTGAAATGAAGCACAGCCTGAATTCTGAGTTTGCCATCTCTTAAATACTTTCACAAGCTGTGCTGGTAACTTATCCCTGCAGCTCATTTATGGCTTTGGCATTTGCCATTGACTGGGACAACACAAATAATTGGGTGTTTAGAACCTGGGAGTGTTCGCTTATGTGTGCAGGTGCTTTGGGCAGGTCCAGAACCTCTCTTGGAGCCTACAATCAGCAGCTCTCACCCAGTGATACAAACTCTTTGCTTTGGGAGGATTTATTGCTCTTAGTTTCTCTGGTTTGGAATTTTCTGTTTCTATTCCTTCAAGATGATCTTGAAACACATTTGATTTGGTTCCTTCCTTTAGAATGGTGCACATTTTTCACTCCCACAGCATCAGGACTGAATGATCTGAGAGCACTTTGCTGCTAAATAAGAACCTGACCAGAGCTCCCTGAGCTCAACCACAGGAGCAGGGCCCCTTCCATCAGATGTGGGCTGTGATTTGGTGGGATGTAGCAAGCACCACGGGAATCCTGATATGTGAAGAGTTATAAATAACCCTACTATTGGTTCCCAAACCTTTTATCCAGGGATTTCAGATTTAAGGGGAAAGCAGTGAAAGCTAAGCCTGCTGGAGAATGCTGATTCCTGAAGAGCAGCTGGGATAAGGCTGTTAGAAGCTAGACCAGAGCCCAAAACTGCTCAAAAGGCTGGGACAAAAAGCCTTTCAAATCCCAAATGCAAGAGTTTGCTCATATCCTCACTCCACTTTAGCTGAGCTCCCCATTTTCTGTGCAGCAGAGCTGAACCTGAGCTACAGAGTCTCAGATGTTTGTTTGTGGAGGCTGCTGTTCCATGAGGAGAAAGCATTTGACTGACACTCCTTTTTTAACAGCCAAATAGCTAAAACATACACAGGAGGGACTTTTCACTCTGTTTCTCACTCAGTATCTTTCACTGGTGCAGTTTCAGAAGCAGCTCAGCTTCAGGTCTTCAAAGTCTTTTCATGGCTTTTAATGTGTCTTGCACTGAAGGGCAGCTGCACTCAGAGGGGCTTGCACTGCACTCAGGAACCTGGAGCACCCTGGGCTCTCTGGAGACCTGGCCAAGGTGTCTGAGAGCAGAACCTTTCCCTGTGCTCCCTGCAAACCTGGCCAAGGTGTCTGAGAGCAGAACCTTTCCCTGGGCTCTCTGCAAACCTGGCCAAGGTGTCAGTGAGAGCAGAACCTTTCCCTGTGCTCCCTGCAAACCTGGCCAAGGTGTCTGAGAGCAGAACCTTTCCCTGGGCTCTCTGCAAACCTGGCCAAGGTGTCAGTGAGAGCAGAACCTTTCCCTGGGCTCTCTGCAAACCTGGCCAAGGTGTCTGAGAGCAGAACCTTTCCCTGGGCTCTCTGCAAACCTGGCCAAGGTGTCAGTGAGAGCAGAACATTTCCCAGCCCCACATCCTGATGAGCTGGGCTTTGATCAGGGAGCTCAGCAGTGTAGGGTTTTCCAGGGTACAGCCTATCTCCTCAGTCATGCTCTGAAAAAGGCAGGAGCTGTTCTGTTCTCATTCCTGACAGTTTGCAAATCACTTCAGGCACTGAATTCCTCCCTGGGACTTCCACTGAGGAGAATAATGTAAAATGCAAGGGATTGGCCACAAGTGCCTCCAGTTACCCCCCAGCCTGTGCTCCCTCTTGTCAGCTCACAGGGAGCACTGCAGACTCCAAGGTGCCTGCAAAGAATTGTTTGGTACAGTTTTGTGGGGTTTTGTTTATTACTGAGATGGAAAATAATTTTGTAATGTTTTGGTGTCAGCAGCAAAGCTGTGACTGTGTTAGGAACTGGACTGAGGGCCAACCTCAGAAATTAGGAGCTGGTCACACACACAAGATTTTTTTTCCCCCCATTACCTTTTGAAGTTTCCTTTCCAAACCTCTATTACAGAATTCTTAAAATATAGTCAAGCACCTCTGCTTAAAGGACATCATAAATAGTCGCCCACAGCCCCCAAAAAGAGGGAGAATGGAGGAATGCAATTGCCACAGAGGGTTTCCATTAGTGAAATTAATTCTTCTCTCATAAGAATTTAGGCCCATGATTTATGATAACCACCAATTTCTCACTGCAGGCGAAGTGAGAGGAAATGACTCAGCCTGGACAGACATCATGAATCTAATTTTTTCCCTTAATGCTTGACATAATCTAGTGCGCAGCTCCCAGAGGTGTCATTGGAGATTCATATCCAGCCAAAGGGCCTCACAATCAAGGCAGGAAATTTTGTTCCTTTCATGTATTGTGAGATCTGTAATTGCTTGGAATTGCATCCTGCCTCCTTCATTGCCACTCCTTTTGCATCAATTCTGCAGCAAAACAGGAAGGTAAACAATGCAAGGGAGGGGAAAGCTGTGTGGCACTCCAGAAAAATCTCCTGTGACATAATCTGGGGGTCCAGCTGGTGCTTATTAAACCCAGGCAGTTTTGAGATGAAAGATGTTTCTTTCTGTCACTCCTTCCCATGGAAATCTCACTACCCACCTGACTGGGGAAGTTGTATCCACCACATCTTTATTTTTTTCTGGAACTTTATGTTTTACTTGCCATCACCAGTACAGAGTTTTGTGAGTGGGTTTCCTGCCAGGAGATCAGAATAGATATCATGTTAAATGGTTCAGCTGAAATGTTTTATACCACATTTCCAGGGGCTGGGAGTGCATATTCCTGTCTCAGCAGAGGAGGTAGTATCTAGCTGAGAGGAAGGTAGGTTTTGAAAAGTCTTGCAGTTATAAATAGTCATTTGAATACATCCTAAAAGATCACTTCCAAACTGAGAAAAATAACAGATATTTTTCTTAAACACAAAAGAATTTCTACAAATTTCTTTGCTCTGATCTCATTTAACATAAAAGGATGTAAAAGCAGAACAAACAGCAAGATAGAGCTAAACAAGAATTCCCAGCACTTTTATTTTTATTCTCTGGGGTTTTTTTAACAGATAGAGCTAAACAAGAATTCCCAGCACTTTTTTTTATTATTTTCTGGGTTTTTTTACCATTTAGCCAAATCCTCTTTTCACAGGGCTGCTGTGAGTGAGCTCCTGCTGCTCTCTAACACATCCCCCAAGGGGCTGCTTGCCTCCAGGTGACCTCAAAAAGTCCCTCAGTAAATATCTGTTACTTTCCAAAATGCTGAGCCCACACAGCTTCCAGGGTGTCCTGGTTCAGGGCAAATTCGGTAGAGAATCTCCAAAGGGGCCCCTCCAGAAAGCAAACCCACACGACCCTTGTGCCCAACCGGGCCGGGAAGGATTCCTTGGAGAGAAGTGGAAACAACCTGTTTATTTAACAGGCACAGCACTCCCCAGCACACAAAATGAACAATACTGAGTGACACCACTCTGAAAAAGATGACAAATTCAGAAAGTCTCTCTGGGGGTTGTCGCTCTGTTCTCAGTCCCATTGGCGCTGAGGCAGCGCTGCCCAGAGTAGGCCCCGCTAGGCCCAAGGTGCAAACTCTCGGTGTTCCCAGGCCCCAGTCCGGGGCAGGTTTAAGTAGGTCCAAAAAAAGGAAAAAGAGAAACAATCCAGGAAGAAATTTGAACTGTTTAGCTAAACTAGCTAATGAGCAGAAGCAAGAGAAAGAGCAAAGTGAAAAGCCAAGCAAAAAGCAAAAGCAGCACCATGTACTGCCCTGTCTCTGTGTCCCGCCAGCCATGGGGGAGCAGCTGATAAGAAACCAAAACAAAACATTCACCCTTCAGAGCCAATCTTGAAGGCACAGAACATAATATCCAGCATAAACAGAACACATGGATGGGGATACAAACATCATAACGTCACCCTAGGACGCTGGGAGTCACCTACAGCTCACTGGGGCTGTGACCCCATTAAACCCCCCAAAAAGCAGAAGGGAGCAGAGGTGTTTGCCAGGGCTGCTCCTGCACTGAGCCCACCAGGACACCTCTCCTCACCAGGGTTTGCCAATAATCTGTCATGGTGCATTTTAACCAATGCTCTGTTCAGCCTGTTACTCCCACTATGAGACCTTCCTTGTCTCTCTCCCCAAACCATTTTAAAGCTGCATTTTTATTTCATTTTATTCTGATTATTTTATTTTATTTATTTATTTCTGTTTTCTTTATTTTATTTTTTCCTGTTTATTTATTTATTTCTGCTCCTGACTCCAGTGGCTTTATGATGCTGAGGCTCCCTGGCAAGAGCTCCCCAAGCCTGTAAAATAAACATCAAATTACAGGATGCTGGATGCACACCCTGACTAAATTAAATCATTGTTTTCAACAGTTCTGTGGCAAATTCCTAAATTGCAGCTGCCAGCCTGCAAATTCTTCAATCCCTCTGAAGCACAATTGGAGAAATTGCCCCGTTTGGGGTGTATAAAGTGTGACTTTTAAGTGTTCTTAGGCAAGGGACTAAGAGAGTACATGAACACATGGCTTCAAGCTGAAGGTTGGACTTGGTAACCTTGGAGGGTTTTCCCATAATGATTCTATGATTTGAAGACTCTATTGAACAAAGTTCAGCTTTTCTCCAGATCTCTGATGTTCTAGGATCTCCAGATCCTAGAATATAACCAAAAGACTAAAATAAATACACTAATATTAGTAAAACAATGAGCTAAACCACATGCACAATGGAATAAAATAAAAAACTGAGGTATCTTTTCATCCAGCCCAGATCCATAGAAGCAGGGCTCTCCTGGGTGGAAGGGAATAAACATATCATGCTGTTGGACAATTTCAGCTCTCTATTTTCTCCAAAACTCAGTTTTTCTAACAAAATGCCAGGAAATTCCTCTTTCTGGTGCTTGGACACAGCTGTGAAAGGCTCCTGTGTGTAAGGAAATGCAGCTCAGGTGAGGAGGTTGCTATGGTTTGGCCTCAGGATGTGGCTGCTGCCTGCTGGCAAGTCCTACCCTGAGCTATTCTGTATTTTCTGTAATTATAAAACAAAGCCAACAAAATTTGCATTTCCCTGGACAGAACCTAGGCTGGCTCAACATCTCCTCTCTAGCTCCTCAGGTCTGACTACAAGCAACCAGAAGTTCTTGAAATTCTACTCCTCCTACTGCTCCATCCTGAGGGATGCCCACAATATTCCACTGGTTTTACCCCAAAACAGAGGAACCCTCGGGCAGAGCTGGGAGCCCAGGCTCCCTTTCCCAGTAAGTGTTGGGTTTCCCAGTCTGATTGAAGGTTTCTGGAAAAGAGAAAGAGGAGAAATTGAGAAAGAGGAGCTAAGGCAGAAATCTCCTCCTCAGCTTTGAAGAGGATTCTGTTTACCTCCTTCTATCCTCCAAAACTGGGGTGGAATGTAAATAAGGTTCTGTTCTTTGGGGTGAGCTGTGGCAGGGGATTTGCCTCAGCCTTTGAGCACCAAACTGCAGCTCTGGGCAGGGGGATAATGAGCCCTGAGCTGGCTCCCTCCAATATTTGAGCCGATTTATTGCAGTTAACCAGGACGGGCTGTGGCAACCTCCACTGAGCTGTGAATTCCCACAGCATTCACCAGCTCCTGCATGTGGCTCTGACTGGAGGATTTCTGCTGTAATAAGGCCAGAAATAAGAGAAAATGCAGTGCCAAAACCTCGAGAGCTTTTACTGATTCTTTTACATCTTTATTTTCCCTTTTTTTAAGCTTCCCTCTGACTCCTTCAAGTACCTTGGCTGGTGTGACATAGAGGAACACAGTGTGAAAGGGAATCAGCTGCTCTGCCCCCGAGTGAGGGAAGGTAAAGATCAAAAAGACACTTTGGCATCTCAGCCCTAACTCCATTGAGTCAAAGAGTGCATCTTAAAAAGGGATGAGCTGAAATCCTGCCCCTTCTCAAAAGAATGGCAAACTCCAGGATTTCAGCTCACAGTGCCCACGCTCGCTTTATTTTTTAATCATTAGGAAATTATCCTTTGTCATTTCCAAAATGAAAAACAACTGCCTGAGCTGCAGACTGCAAATTTTTAGTATTAATGTGCTGCTGATTACTTCTCTCAGAAGTTGATTAACATTTGACTGTTCAGAATGCAGTAGCCATGTGCCAAACAGCCAAGCAAGAGGGAAGCCCAGCCCTGCAAACAGTGGCACATTTCTTGTATTTTAAGACTAAATTGGCTCAATTACAATCTACAGACACTCTCAAGAACAGATGGGTTTTAAAATCCAGTATTTGCATGTTTGGGAGTAAACAGTGGAAGATTTCCAGCCAGTCCTTGCTTTAATCAGGAATTTGAAGATGCCCACAGCTCTAAACTTTTCATTAAGACTTTAAGTCTTAGTGTGTGTGTGTCTCAATACAAATGAGGTTTGGAATGGAGCTGTTGGTTTTTGGCACTGCTCTGGAAGCTGAAACATTTTCCTTTCTCAGGACAATCAAAGGCTAACTCACAGCATGGCAAGGAATGAGAAGGATTTTAGAGCTCAGGTCCTTATGAACAACCTTTCAGAAATGGTTTTCATTCTGATCTGTAGCAGATCTGTCATTTACCAACCATGCACAAAGACTGCAGATTGCTGGCTGAATTATGGGTCTGGGAATGGCAGAAAAATCTTCCCATTAATTTAAATCTCAGAAGCCTGGAAAGTCACACACCTATAATATTATATATATTTCTTCATTACAGAATCTTCCCAGCAATATAAATATATATTCTTCCAGCAAGTGACTAAGTGCCAGTTCTGTATCAATCCTCAACTGTAAATCTTTTTCTCTGACCAGGGCCCTCAGAAGAAGAGCTGTTTTTCAGGAAAGAAGAATATACTCTGAAAAGAAGAAAACAAGTAACTGACACAGAGAAATGGGAAAAGAGGCTGCAAGAGAACTGGGAAAACTGTGCTGTAAAACTTTCTCATTAACACTTTGGACTGTAGCTGTAAAGAAGCCAAATAATCACGTGCTGGCTGCTCACTGCATTTAATAGATTTAAACCTGTGATAAGGAAGGTGTCCCTGGCTGTGGCAGGGGTGGAATTGGATGAATTTTGAATTCCCTGCCAATTCAGTCCATTCTGTGAGGACTCTATGAATATTTAAATCTGGCTGCTGCACAGGACTTTGGTGCCAGCTGAGTTTGGAGGCCAAACCAAAAAGCCACAACCACTCAGTCCTGCTCCCTCCCACACCCTGGTAACCCCACTCATAGAGGAAGGAGGAGATGGACACTGAAATTCATGCTTGAGAGATGGTTTCTTCCTTCCTTTCAAATAATTAAGGAGTCCAGCACTCTGATTCTGAGGTGGATTTGGCACTTGGTACCACCAATTGTTAGAAGAGCAGCAGCATAAAATGTGTTCTCATTTTAACTGCCTCTGACTAATTCTATATTTAATTATATAGCTATTACAAAGCAAGGGGGGAAAAAAAAGTGATTTCTCTTATTTTTACCCTTCCCAGGAGCTGAACCTTTCATTCCAGGACCTGGGTGATCTTTACCAGGTGGAAAACCTCAAAAGAATCCTCCACAGATTAATCCGGGTGGAAAAGCTTTGGTTGGTGGACAATTCCCTGACAGACCTCAGTGCCATAAGGTTGCCAAGGTAGACAAAATGTCCTGCTTCTATTTTCATGTAATCTGTTTCTATTTTTATGTAATAGCCCAGAAATCCGAATTTTCCTGAAGTGACAGCTGGAGCGGGCTCTTGAGTGCTGCTAAATCTGCTCTTGGGGGTGCTGGAGTGAGAATCCATCAGTTCATTGCTGAAAATACCCAGTCAGGAGATCACATCACACCCTTTTATTCCTGGGGAATAATTAATGAGTCCAGCCCACTTCAGGGAGATCTGTGCCAAAAGGGGAGCTGTTGCACACAAAAGGAATCTCTGTGAAGAGATGGGGGAGCACAACCCCAACAGAGAGGCCATGACAACTGTAAATTTATTTTACATTCCATCTGTTGCTACTCTGCTGTTGTGTATTTAGGTGTATGGAGAGTTGTAGTATTGAGAACAGAAAAAAATGATGCATCTGTTGCACAAGAGAAAGAAATAAGGGAATAAAATATAAACCAGTGTATAAACCCCATCCCTGTTGTAGGGGCTCTGTCCCAGATGTGATAGTGATGCCAAACACTTTGTACTTTACAGATGCAGAGAGCTAAATGTAAATAAAAACCACTTTACATCCTTCAAACAGCTGCCAAAGATCCCTCAGATTCAGCACTTATCTCTTGCTGACAACAACATCACGAGCCTGAGTGGGATTTCAGACTTCAGGCACACCCCACTGGAATCCCTCATCCTCAAGAGGAATCCCTGTGAGTTCCAGGAAAGATACAGGCAGCTGTAAGTCTGACCCTCTCGTGGCTAACAAAAGTGATAAACACAAAATAATGTTTGCCAGAGTTTCAAAGGAATGGGATCTCAAACCAAACAAACTTTTTAAAGAAGGTTTTCCTTTTCTTGTGATTTTAATGCTCTGAAATGCTCCAGGAACATGGCTTACTGAGCTATTATGTGATAAAAGCCCCCAAATATTCAGAAATTGCCTGTGATGCTTTTTAATGACATGACTGGCAGTTCTGGAACTGAACTAAGCCCATGGATCAAGTTCAGAGACAGTGAGCAGGGCAGATAAATTAGATTCCCTTTTATTAATAGAAACTACCTACAACTCAAACTCTCTTCAGCCTCCTTGCATCCTCGGTGGCTTCTGCCTAAATTGCATTACATGTCAGAGCTGGAATCAGGGGGATGTCTTGAAAGATGGGAGCAAAAGCAGCAGAAAATCAAGTTCCCTTCATTTGATTTTTCTGGATTCCCCCTGTCCCTTGAGCAGCCTTTGGGATGGGCTGGAGATTTAACAGAGCAGCCTCAGACACTGGCAATGGAAATTCCAATCCAAGAAATCCAGGAGGATGTCATGTATTCTAAACCTCTCTCTCGGAAAATCTGCAGGGTTGCATGCTTTGTCCCACTACAAACATAGCCAGGTGTTGATATTTTGGAGATAAACCTTGCAGAATGTGGGACATATCTCTTCCCATTGCTTCCTGAGAGGGGGAAAAAAAGAAAGGAGAAGTTTAAAATAAATATTTAATGAAAACCTTTCTGAGTTTGCAGCAGTCCTGTGGGCATCCCTTTGGCAGTGTGGTGCTGATAAAGGCAGGGAGGCAGATATCAGCATGGAAGGGGAAAAAGTACATTTTAAATGATGAATTTCACCTTTTGTTTGCATATCTACAAGTCCAGGAGAACAAAAGCAGAAACCACCTTTTAACAATTCCTAACTGTGTTTCTGCTCTCAATCTGCCAGTTCTTAGGGCAATTAAATATTGGTGCAATTTGGTGTAACTCTGGTATTGTGTTCATTGTCAGTGTTGGAAGACAGATTCTTGAAGTGCTTTATTGGGTCTGAGGATATAAAGGTGGTGCAATGAAGTGAAATCTGAGAGTTTTAATTAGCTCTTTATCAGATAAATTCTGCAACAAATGACAAATCAAGATTTCCAACCCAAATCCATTTTAGATACTTTTGAATCCACTGTTTCTTTTTTATCAGTGTCTCTTTTGTTCTCAACATTTCCCAAGATTATTTTTCTCAATTTCTGTTCTTTTCTTTTGCCTCTCTTTAAGTGTGTTCTCCAATTTGCCAAACCTGAAAATACTGGATGGCATCCCAAAACTGCCAGAGGACTGCTCACCCCCTGAGGTCAGGTTTTTTTACAGAATGTGTACTATACTCTAAAACAATATTTTTGTAGGATCTCAACTGTGCTACAACCACCTTGCTTAAAACAGACTGTAAATCCTGCTTATGGAAGTTCTATTGTTTTTTTTACTGGTCAAAGAGATATTGAGACAGAAATAAAACATTTCTGAGTGCATTTGTGATACCAAGTATGGGTATGGATATGTAAATAAGACATAATGTTATACTGGATATTTATTAAATTTAATTTTGAGTTTAATTAATGGAGTTTATTTAATTTATTATTAAAATTATTGATTATTATTTATTAATAGCAAATTTTAAGTTTATTATTAAAAATAGTGTGTGCCAAGTAAGTATGGGTATGTAAATAAGACATAATGTTATACTGGATATCACGAGTTGATTAAATTTATTATCAAAATTAATTATTATTTATTAATAGAAAATTTTAAATTTATTATTAAAAATAGTGTGTGATTTTCCCATCTAGGAGCTCTGTGTCAACAACAACTCACAATTATTGATTCCCACTGCATTTAATTAGAACATATCCAGGCTCAGACCCCAAGCTCATTGTGGGAAATAACACAGGGATGGACACCCATAGAAAAGGAAAACAAATTAATAAAAAGCCCCACCAATGTCCAAGTGCTCTTTAATGAGCTTTGTACATGGGAAAAGCTCAGCCACCCCAACCATTTTGATCCTAATAATTAAAAAAGATCTTTCTTTGGAGTTTGGTGTGGCCAGAGAGCACTGGGAAGGGAAATCATGAAAAGGAAAGGAGATTTTTGTCTCTGCTGGCATTGTTTGGGGATGTCCTGCTGCTTTATAGAGGCTCCTGAAAGCAAACCACAGGAGGGAGAGCCCTGACAGGGATTTGGGTTTCTGGATGCAATTATCTCTGAGAGGTCTCTGTCCTTCCTTTGATTGATTTGCTGTCCAATCTTTGGGGGTTTTTTCCCCACCAGCACACAAATAGCTGTGCCACCAGCAGTGCAGGGGGAGAGGCACAGAGCCCTGGAAATGAAGCCAATTAAGGGAATTGCCTCATTCCAGAGGCAGGCAGTAAATCCTGTGCTGTGTGCTGGCTGCAGGGCAGCTCAGGTGGGTTCAGAGCAGGGGTGGACGAGGGCTCAGCCCTGCAGGGCTCTGCAGTGCCAGGGCTTGGAGCACAGAGGTCACAGCAGCTCTGATCAGCATCTGTGCTGCACCCAGGCAAGGGAAACCAGCAGCTTGCAGAGTTTCCAGGCTGTCCCGTAGGGCTGCCCTTGCCTCTCCCACAGCTCAGCAGCCTAAACAGGGGACCAAAATATTGCACGAATGAAATCAGATTTTAAATGTGTTACAGGATCTGACTCGGAGGATTTTGTATAGCTGGGACGGGAAAAGGCTGTGGAGCACAGCTTGGTGGTCACCCTCAGGAAATCTTGAAATGTGGGGAAGCAGAGCAGGGCTCACAGGGCTGGATCAGAAGATCCAGTCAGTGGGATTTACCCCAGCACTGGGAGAAGAGCAGGCAGGGCAAATCCCCCCATAAACACCCCAGGATCAGGAGGGAAAGTCAACAGCCCACAGCAGAGAGCTTTCACAGGTTCAGAGAGAGATAGTGTGGTTTGCAGAGAAACAGCAACACAGCCAGGGCTTTGGGCAGGGAAACAGAACATTGTGTGAGCAGATGGCAAATGGGTGCAGAGAGCAGCAATGCTTGCTGGGGAGGGGATAAGAACAACATGATGACATGAAAGCTTTCTGTGGACTGGGGATGGTGGTCCACATCAGGTCTAGAAGTGAATCCAGACACCCTATAACTCATTTTCATTATAAAGAACCCCTGTGGTGTCTGGGAGTAGAAGGTTGAACACAAAGGATAGAATATATTATTTTCAGCTGAAGATATGTGTGAGAAAACACTGTGATTTTGGAAACGAGGCAGGGAGCTGGAGCAGAGGGAAAAGAGAGCCTGAAGGACCTGCCTGACTGACCACCTGACCCTTAGTGACCACCTCACTGACCCCTTACCCCTACTGACCACCTCACTGACCATCTGACCCCTTAGTGACCACCTTACCCCTACTGACCACCTTATTGAGGCTTCCTTGGCCAAGCCAGGAGCAGAGGGAAAACAGAGCCTGAAGGACCTGCCTGACTGCCCACTTGACCCTTACTGACCACCTCACTGGCGCTGTGGCTGGGGACAGGACAGACAGACAGACAGACAGACAGGCTTTTCCTCAAGGGTCAGCCAGCCCCTGAGGAGCACTCAAAGCAGCAGCGCTGGAATCACAGCACCCAGCACTCAAGGCTCTCCTCCCAGAACTCAGCATCACAAAGTGGGGCTGGGATGGGGAATTGCTGCAGTCCCCTGGGCAGAGGGTTCAGTTCCCAGCTCCTGGCAAAGCTCCCACCCACCTCTTGCAGCTGTAATCAGGATTCCCTCCTGGGAAAGGCTCAGAGGCTCTGCTGTTTGCACCTGAGTGCTGGGTCAGGCACACACACTGATTTATTCTCTCCAAACAGGAAGTTGGTTCTGCTCTCATAATTTTTCATTTCATTATTTTAATGCTCTGGCTCTGGGATCCCAGGGAAATGTGAGGTAATTCTGATTTTATTTAAAGTGCATCCAGGAGCAAGAATGTGCTGGTGATGTTTGAAGCATTTTGCTGTGAAGAGGTTTAAAAGGAGATCACAGAACCACAGAATGGTTTAGGTTGGAAGGGACAGAAAAGCCCATTTAAATCATTCCCCTGCCATGGGTTACTCCAAACCCTGTCCAGCCTGGCCTTGGAAACTTCCAGGGATCCAGGGGCAGCTTCTCTGGGAACCCTGTGCCAGGGTCTGCCCTGAAGAATTTCTTCCATCCATTCTGAAATGTAAAATAGCAGCTGCCATTGGTGAGCTCAGTATCAAAGTGTCATGAAATCAATTTCCAATTAGTTACAAAGATTCCTTTGGACCTGACATTTCATGAAAATTTAGCAAAGCATTCCCAAAGTCTTGCTCTAACATCCTAGGGCAAAATTTCCTCCAGGCTGAGCTTTTTATCTCCTGGCCCATTCCCTGCTCCTGCCAGGGCCACCAGAGCATTTGGGGTCTCTGGAGCACTGTGGACAGAAGGAAATGGGTGCTGGAGCAAATTCTGTGGGATTAAACAAATCAGACAAACACACTCCTGAGTCCTGCCCTTCTCCTCCATCCTCATGTTGTTTTAATTCAGTTGTAATTCATCTCTTTCTTTAAAACAAATTATTTCCCTCATTTACTCGGAGTTGCATCCTCTAATTTGCACTGGGGCTGCTTGCAGGAGGGCCAGGGTGCAATTCCAGAGAGGAGGAATCTCTGCCCAGACATCCTCTGCTCTTGTCCCAGGGGTGAAGGGAACTCAGCTGGGTCAAGGCTCATTCTGAACCTCCCTCAGAACCAATCCCAGCTGTTCCCTGGAGTCTCCTTTTCTCTGTTTGAGCAAACCCCATGGGTTGGAAGAGGAGCCATTCACAGAATTAGGGGCTCATCTGTTGGATGGATGTCTGTCTGAGCCCTGGGAGCTGCCCCTGCCATTAATATTGGCTGGGGTGAAATAACATGACCTGAACCATCCAACAATGAGCACTGGAGAGAGCAGAGCAGCCACAAAACCCTGGCCAATCAGCTCAAGTGCAGCTGCCACAAGTTCAAATGAATTAGGAAAAAAAAAAAAAGTTTTATTCAGTGGAATGAGCTGCAGCCAAAAGAAACACAGATTTCACAGAGAAACACTGAACTTTTGGACAATAATAACCAGCTGCAGTTTGCCACTCTTTCTTCCTTAAGCCATTCCGGGTCTCTTGGTTGTTGAGTTTTTGCTGAAAGTTGTACCCAGCATGCCTGAAAGAGCCCACCTGAGGGAGCTGCCACTGGGTCTTGGCTTTAAAGGGCCTTTTTTCCTCTTTGTGCTAATTTTTTGGGTTGTGCAAATTATTCTCCTGCGCTTCCTGCGGGCCTCAAAGGATTCCAATTCACAGGATTTCTAAAAGGATTACATCCCCTCATTATGGAGCTCCTTAAAATTGCCTAGATGTTCGTGTTGAAGGTCCCTTTTAGAGTCACAATGGGCTGGTTCTGTGCAGAGAGACTCCCAAAATTCTCTATGGGGCTGAGCACACTCAGAGCACCTCACAGATCCCTCCCAGGCTGTTTCTGCTGGGCACTGTCAAACCATTTCTTCCTGAGAATGATGAAATTCAAGTTTCCCACCTATAATTTCACCTTGAGATAGAGCCCAGGGGATGTTTGCTGGTTTGGGAGGGTGTTAGCAGGGAGCCCCAGGAGCTGCCTGGGCTCTCACAGCCGTCACTCCTTGTTGTTCAGCTCCTCTCCCAGGTGTTTCTCATTGCTGGAAATTGCTGTGGTGGTCAGGTGGGGGTAACTCAGTGCTGCTTCATGGATGGACAGGATGGAGCTCACCTTGGACAGGTCAGGTTGGGATGGATCCTTCTGGACCAGCCTCACCCAGGTAAGGGGAGATGCTGCACCCAAAAGTGCCCAGATTGCCCCACAAATGCTGCAGCTCAGCAATGCTCAAGGTTGATGTCTCAGGTATTTTTCACATTCTGTGCTGCTTTAGTGTGTAAGTCTGGGTTCACATGAGGGGATGGTGAGCTCTGTGCACAGAGCAGGGAGACAAAACAATTCCTGCCCCAGCTGGGCACCAAGGACAAATGACCCAAATCTCAGCCCAGGAGCACAAACCCCGTGGGCTGGAGAGAGAAAAACAAGCAGGGTGGGACTGCCTGGGCTAAAGCTGGAATGGGACAATGAACTGCAAGGTGCAAATGGAGCAGAACTGATCCCAGGGAGAGACCCCGGGAGCGCTCGTGCATTTTGGGGCCATTTTGGTTCATCTTGGGTGCAGCCCTGGCTGGGCTCTGGCGCTGCCCAAGGTGGATCCATGGAGGAGATGCTTTGGATAAATCCCTGCTTTATTCTGGGACTCTGCCCAGCCTCTGTTCTGGGGCATTGGGGCAGTGCCAGTTCCACAGGATCTGCCTCCATGTCCCCTCCATTGCCGTGGGTGTGCTGGAAATGCCTGTGCAGGGCTGGGCTCTGGGAGCAGCATTTGGGCTGCTCTGTCCCAGAAATGGCA